TTCAATTGTTTATTTGTTTCATTTTTAATAACTCTCTTGTTATTTGCCACACGTTATTTTGTAAACTTAAGGTATTGACATTAAATGGGTGTGTTTTTTTTTTATTTTACCTATAAATGTCAATATGTAAACAAAAAAATATGTATTGACAAAAATGATTTTTAGAAAGGCGCTATTTTCATTCCAAAGTGTTCTGGTTGAAAATATGATCAGATCGGAACAATTTCATAATATTCGGATCTTTACAAAAATATGAAAATATTTTATTGCTACTGACATTTAATTTTATCAGAAGCTCAAAAATATATACATAAACACCAATTAATAACTGCTACTGACAGCAACGATCTTCATTTGTGCCATTTTTATGATTTTCTTGTATGTGAAATTTAAATGAGCCGCGTCACGACAAAATCAACATAATGGGTTTGCGACCAGCATGGATCCAGACCAGCCTACGCATCCGCGCTGTCTGATCAGGATCCATGCTGTTCGCTTACCTACCCTATAATAAGTAAAGAAACTGATAGCGAACAGCATGGATCCTGATCAGACTGCGCGGATGCGCAGGCTGGTCTGGATCCATGCTGGTCGCAAACCCATTATGTTGGTTTTGTCGTGACGCGGCTCAAATAGAAGTGGTGTGAGGGAAAGGGGCATTTTTAACTTTGTCACGAAAATTCTATGCCATTTATAGAAGTAAGCATTCATCTAAATTGTGTTTTTTTTCCTGTTTTTTTTTTTAACCAAAACCCCAACTATGATGTTTTCGATATGATGAGACTATATATTATTAAAAGAAAGCTAAGCTATGTATTTTTTATTAAATATTTTAGCATCAGAAACCATGGCTCCAACTCTTATGTTTTGTATATATAATGACAACATTTTTAAAAGAATGCAGCGTTGACGCAAAGCAGATCCCACCAACGTTATAACAGAATGAAGATCCATCAAGGCCTACAGATTATTGTTCCCACCAACAAAATCGAAAAGCAGTCCCCTTCCACATTGGCGGAATGTAGTCCCCATCCAGTTAACGGAACGAAAGCCCACCAAAGCTAAAGAATTGTTGTCCAAATCTATGTTATCGAAAAGCAGTCTCCTTATATATAAAAACATGAGAGGAAAACACTTTTTATAAGGCGCAAATCGAACGTTGAGCATGTGTTTTCTTTCAAACAGATTATAAAGTATGAAAATTCCTGTTCGATAAACATGATTACTGTCAGCTAACTGTCAATTAAACATTCGCTTGAATAATGTGTTTCGTGAGAGGTATTTTCTCATTATGACAATATTAAAATAATTGGACTGACTGAGATCATTTAGAATATTATAAATATAAGATTATAATTTTCTCACTTTCTTGTTAAACGATATTCTACGTCGACTTGTTGTGGCGGTCGTCGTTAAAACTTCAAGGACAAACGTACCACTCTACGAAAAGCGACTTATACACTACTGTGTCACATTGAAGGTTCGATGATAACCGCCGTATGAACACATCTGCGGATGTTTCTAAATCCAAAATTTCACCATTTTCGTGTTTAAATGTTTAATTCTGCTTAAGCCGGTGCTAGGGGGCGTGGACGGTAACTTGCACTTTCCAGTCCCGTCTATGAACTGGCTCAATCAAACCGAGCCTGCAACATTTTCAATTTTGACGTGTTGGGCTTCTGTTTTTCTGTATTTTATATACTTCAAAGTAATATTTGTGTGCATCTGCGAAGCTGACTGAAACCATAGAATACGATACGTATAAGATGACAACTTTTTCACTTTCTTGTTCAACGATATTGTACATCGACTTGTCGTTGTTGGTTCCAATTTTGTGGTCAGTTAAATAAGGTCATAATTCTTCTAAAACAATTCATCCTTTGAAACAAATATTACGAGTTTATGAAGCAATCCGATATTGTACAATACAAAATTGTTACAATAAAATGAAATAAAATACAAAAATACAATACATCAAATTCAATGTATAAAAAAACAACAAAAACATTTCAGTTAAAATGTTATGATATTCAATGTTTGGCAGAACAATGGTTGAAATGAAAAAAAAAGCATTGCAATAGTATATAATATAATCCTTTAATATATGTATTTCCCGTTACGACTAAAAGTAATATTATGTGATTAAGAAATAATTTCGGTGATCTCCCTGTATTTGGCACGTTAGATTCGAAATGATGCCTGGTTTCAGCGTGTTTATCGGGGAATTTTTATCTAACACCGGTTTGGGGTTTCGATGGAAAGGGATTGACCACGAAGGCCGGGGTAGTTATCTTTTTTTTCGCAATAAAACGATAAAACCGGACAACGGTTGTTAAATAGCCGATAAACACCACTGAAACCGATATTATTTCGATTATAACAAACTAAATTAAGAGATATCACTAACGCTATTTTTTTCAAGCAGAAATTTCTTCCGCTGCCAATTTTCGTATATAGACAAACATGTGAATTTTTAAGGTCAAATTTAAGATTTTAAATCTAGATAAATGTTGACCGTAAATGAGAATACAAAAGTCTCCACAGGTACTAATTATGTACATAGACATGATAGTAATTATACAAGTACATCTTACCGGGGGGGGGGGGGTAAATAGTCCAATTACTATTATTTATATGAGGACGCAGATGTGTGAGCTGACATGATAACAACAGTAGCAACAAAGTGTTTTCTGGGAAGTTACAATAACAACAAATCTTTGCATACTTATTAATTAATTTATTTATTCTTAGATAGGTAGGCTAACAAACCTTCACTTGAAAATAATCATTCATCGCACAAGAGGGTTACTGACCAATATTAAGGTAATTAAATTACGAAATATTACATCAAGTACGAGTATATATTAGCGGGAATATTCCAATTATTTTTTTTATTGTTATTTCATTGTATAATAATAATAATAATAATAATAATAATAATAATAATAATAATAATAATAACAATATTTTTACACAATGCACTTTTTTACGAAGGGCTTTGTCAGTGCATTAAGTTTGAAGAAAATCCCTCGATTAATTTCGGAGTTATGATTTTTTTTCAAGTAAATTTGATAACTTAAAAGTGGCATAATTATCTCTAAAGGTAGGCAATGTAAAGTTATTGTTCTAAACACTGTACATCCTTGCCCATGTGCTCTGTCAGTGTATGCAGTTTGAAAAAAAATAATCTCTTAACTATATTTTAGAGTTATGCTCCGAACAAAATTAAACTGACGCGCTGATGCACATACACACGAAAAGATACCATTTTTTTATATCCCCTTCGTCTTTCGTGAGGGAATGAATTTTGAACACTTAAAGAATGAGCGTGATACAGAGGCAGTCGTTTTTAGCATCAGGCCCCATGTTCACTAAGATTCACTAAGATTCAATGAGATCAGGAAGGTGATCAGGATCAAATTTAAAAAAATCAAATTTTCTAGATTACTTATCCTAATAGATGAAATATTTAATAATACCTTGATAACATAACGTTGGACTTGAAATAGCATATTTATGAAATATTAGAATTAATTAATCGTTTTTTGAAAAAAAGAAATATTAGAATTTTACTGTTGATCCAAATATTCATCTTGATCCTAAAATTGTTCTTTATTTTAATCCAATAGTTTGTATTTGTTTCGATATTCGTCAAATTTATCCCAAAATAGCTTGGTTTCTTTGTAAATCAGCAAAGTTTTACATTATCTTTATATACCATTTAATTCTGTATCTATATAATACGATAAATTAGTTTTTATAAAACATGAAAATGAAATGAGGATCACTTGATTCTGATCCTGATATTTTCTTAGTGAACATGTGGCCAGATTAATAAATGAAACAAAAAATAGCATAAATGAAATTAGAGAAACTTTGAAGCAGACACCAGCTAGATAAAAGATATGAATACAATGAGGGAAAGATTTGCATTTAAGGCATTAGGGGTAAAGCATTTAAATGGGTCAACATAACACACAATTGATGCATCTTTTATTTCGCACATGTGATACCGTAGGCACCGAGGTTAATGATAACTGTTGTGAATGTGGAATACACCAATGATCAAGTCAAAGTCAATTTGAATATATACTGTAACCCAACGTATATTCGCGACCAATTAATATTCGCTTTATTCGCAGATGGCTACGAAGCGCGAATATTTGTTTGCGCGAATAAGTCCGCACGAAACCCATACTTATATTTAGGTTTGTCTTATGAAGGGAAGATAAAATAGAGAAAATATGAATCCCTAAAGAAAGCCCAAAACGGCAAAACTGAAAATGTTGCAGGCTCGGTTTGATTGAGTCTGTTAATGGACGATACTGTTGAGTGCAAACAACCGTCCACGCCCCCTAGCACCGGCTTAAGTAGAATTCAACATTTAATCATGGCAATGCTAAACTTTTGAATTTTGAAACATCCGCAAAAGTGTTCATACGGCGGTTATCATGGAATCTTCAATACGACACGTTAATGCCATTCAATGATAAGCGGCGTATGGTCACCCAAGCCAAAAAAATGCGTGTGCTCTAAACTAGAAAACAATGCCCTCATTAATATTGTAATCTATAAAAAAATTTATACCCTTTATTGTTTTATTTTGACATATTGTCTTAAACATTATTCCGAATGAGCAATGATCTCCGCTGAAGGCGGTGTTAGGGTACAAAGAATTTGTAGACACGTGAAAAATTCCAATACGATAATTACATCTGTAAACACTCGCTTCCTTATAGTTAAAAGAGACCATCTCGTATGTGTCAGTGTCAAGTCAAACAGTGAAAAAGAATCAACCAATAATTATATTTTTATATTTACTCTGATTTTTTATATGTGTTTGTGTTTTATTTGTGAATATTAATTGGAGTAAGAAATACGGAACAAGCTGCAAATTATATGTGAATCGTGGTCTTCTTGCGGTAGACTTGTTTTGAGTTATAACATCTGTGAACAAAAAACAACACAAAAAATAGCAAAGCCATATTGGATTAATTCTTATGACAAAACAAGGTATTTCTTTCATTGATATTATTGGATATAATCAAATTATAAAAAGAAGCTGAAAACAAAACTTCTTTTGTTGAGAAATAAACATTTTTTGACTCGGTGCGTCTGATTATTAAATGGATGACTTATAAAATACAGGACAATACTAAAGGCCGTCAATAATACCAAGTCTAGCATTGTTATTTTAATCACTGATTTATACATTTGTTTCCGTAGAATACCCTGCTGCTTTACAGAGGAGACTTGTAATCTGTTACATAGAATTATCACTTTTCTGTCTCACTATTTTTGATGTACTGAAATAATTACTTATAAAAACAAGAGAATTATTATTTTTCAATCTCCAGGATTTGTTTTGTTTTCGTAGTGCTTATGGATTGTTAATTTTCTGTTGTGCTCAAAGAAAGAATGTACGTTATGGAAAAGAAAGGGGAACAGAATGGGACTCAGTTTCTCTCGGTTGGAAACGGAAGTGTTAAATCTAAAGACATCGAAGCGCGTGCTTCCTTGACAAAATCAACTTCCGGTCTGAGCAGCCTTAAGCAGAAGGAAACGATTGTGTCTATTTCCGGTGGGGATAAAGGATGTTATTTTACCAGAGTACAAGTCGGTGTGTTTGTATTTGCTTTATTGTTGACACTAAGCGCCGTCGTGGTCCTTGTCGTTTGCTTCTCCGACTCGAACCGACATTTCCACCGGCTGAACACACCTATTGAAAATGTGTGCAAGTGTGGAGCAACGGACCGTGTCAGTTACGTCACACATCCAGAAAATACAATCTCGTTGCATACGGCTCTTTCTTTTCGAAGTACTAGTGAACCTTTTACATTTTCTGACCAACCGGAAATAGGCATTCGTCTGCCTGGTGACGTCATACCTGTACACTATGACATAGACCTTGACGTCAATATAGAGAACGAGAACTATACCGGAAGTGTTAAGATTTTGACAAATGTTATCAAAAATACGAATTTGCTTATTCTGCATGTGAAACCCTTTGTTTTAACAGTGTCAGAAGATGAAATTTTTATTTACCCTGTGAAAAAAGGTGAAACAAATGACACGGACAATAAAAGTTTTATACCCATTGTTAGACAGTTTATGGATTTTGACAAAGAAATACACGCGGTAGAATTGAAAGAACCAATGAGAAAAGAGCTCCAGTATATAATATATGTAAGAAAATTCCGAGGCCTTTTGATGGCGGACTTAAAGGGGATGTACCTGAGTTCTTATAAAAACAAAGATGGCGAAAAAAGGTATGAAATAGAATTCAAAATATCAATGGCTTATCTTTCAGGGTTTTTTTATCATTATTATATTCAATACATTTCTAAAGATTTTGCAAAATCAGTAACACTTGATAAACGCAGCTAGCAATGAAAATATAAAAATGGGAATTTTGAAAAGGAATCATATGTGATGAAGCCAGCATATCACAGACAAACTGTAAAAAGGGCAAATTTAAAAAGGGGGCAAGATATCCCAAATAAACAGATTAAAAAAACGCAAACAAAGAATAAATCTTTATTTGTTCAATATTTATCGTTATTTACAAAACATAATCCGAATGATAATTTCGATGATTTTCCGTCTATTTACGGGCAGTTCTCGGTAACTCACGTGACATCACAATCATTATTTTAACATCCATGATAGCATCTGATATTATAATCTGTATTGATGACCAAAAATAAATAAGAGGAGTTATAGATATTAAAAATGGGAGTTATGTCCGTTCCATATCACAGTAGACCTAATATATGTAAATATAATATTTCTATGTAATTTTCTGTAATGACAATCAAATGTTGTGAATTTGGGACATCAGATTTGAGTAGAACCTAAATAGAACCACCGAAGTTCAGTAAATAAGCTGGATAGTTTCCCCACATGAAAGAACCAAAAGTCCCTGTCGGGAATTGAACCCACAGCAATTGTTAATGAAAACTTTAAAAATGGTTCGTGAATTAAAGTAAACAAACTCTTGCAAAAAAGAGATTCATTCATCGAAGACAAAGAAAACGAAGATGAATAGCTAAAGTAATAAAATAGGCTGGCAAAACATGTTGATATGAGATAAAATAAAAACAAAACAAACAAAACATAAAAAATAAATAACCTATATATGATAAACTAAGAGTCAAGATAGATGGCAAAGCAGTGTAATATGTGGTCGAATTAGATCTAAAAAAAGACACAGAAGCATATGTTCTCTTGCAAGGTTCCTCGTTAATCCTTTTGAATGAAAGCAAACTGCACACTTATATTATTTTAGCCATCACTATGACTGAGTAGTCTGCCTCAAAGAGATTGTATCTTGGAAAAAAAAAGAAAAAGAAATAATACAACATACGAACTTTAGCCATCGCATTGTTTCTTGTTCTTTCTCGTAGAATAGAAAAAAAAGTTTAGTAAATGTTCTGTACACCTACTATTTTACATACACGCACGCACGCACGCATATACATACATACATACATTTGATAAAATTTGTCTTTTGTGACTTATATTATGGATAATTATTTTTGTAGTTGAATAGAAAAATCTTATATCTCGCATGACTTTAAGAGCAAATTGATCTCTCATGTTTAAGCTTGGTTTATAAAATTGCAAATTAATAAATAGAAAACTATCTTGTAAGTGTAACGACAGTAATGTTATGTCGCAAATAATCAAAATTGAAATGTTAAAGGTTGTATAAAACCGCAAGTTGAAAATGTTGCAAACTTGTTTGATTGATTGACAGCATTTGTATGTTGGTATAAAAGTCTGCTTTTTCATCACGATAGCAAAATAATCAATAGGGTAAATAAATCATTCGTTTCTTTACCAGGATAATCATTTTAATTATGGACAATGACCCTAAAATGAACTCAAACGCGTGTTAATGCTTGAAAGTGAATTATTCTATTTGAAAGGTATGAAAAAATAATAAATAAATATGTTGATATTAGTAAGTATCAGATATAGCATCAAATCACGAAAGCATTGTGAGTATCGGTTAATCTATGTAAGAAAATTTAATTCAAATTTTATATCTTATATTTTTAAGCATTTCGATTTTGATGTAGAACACCTTTAAATAACAATCAAGTATGATGCAAAATATTATATGTCTGAACAACTGAATGTAGAAAAAACTACAAACATTCAAACAGTCATATTTATTTATTTAACACCTGTTGTTTTTTTTTCAAAACGTCAAGTTCTGGGTTACATCTGAGAATATTTCTTTTTCAACGTTGAATATTGTTTAAACCAGTGCTAGGGGGAGACGTGGACGGTACCTTGCATTTACCATTGCTGTCCATTTAATCGAGCCTATAGTCTTTTCAAATTTGCCGTTTTGAGCGTTTTAAGAGATTTTTTTGTTCTTGTCGTTGCTTCATTTGGCGTGGACACTTCGTTATCAAAGCGGTAAATAACGATACAAATCTCCTCTCAACTGAAATATTTCAAGAACAATAATGGTTCAACTGTCAGTATGCCAACATATTTGTTAAAGTCGGAGGGATGAGACAATTAACAGATTTATAGCATTGAGATATCGTCTCTGGCGATATAATGACTGGGGCTATAAATTATGTCTATTTACCAATGCTTTACAGAAACACGATAACGTCTGCAACTAAAGTCTTAAGCCGGTGCTAAGGGGTGTGGACAGTAACTTGTCGTTTTGGGCATTCTTTAGGAATTCTGTTTTTTCTATTTTAATAGGTATATCATTGTTTACATTTATTATTTTGATACAGAACAGAACAAAATCTTTATTTGTAAACTTGAGCTCTGCGCTTCTCGTCTTTATAAATACAATAAATATAATACAAAATAATAAAAGTCAAAGCAATGAATACAGAGAGAGATAAATAATCTTTATGAATAGTATTTTATGTGTAACAAAATAATGTAAGTCATAAGTACAATTCGTCACAGTAACTATTACTCTGACAATTTCTGAATATAACATATTTAAGTGTTTTTTTAACAATATGTCTCTACTGAAGGTAATACAAACATACAAATTATACCAATTCGTTGGATCCGAACTTTAAAGCACAATTTAAATAACATGCCAATTTGTTTAAAGGGACTCCACTGATGTTTTCTGACATGACGGGACTTGAAATATATTATCAATATTAATGTTCCATTTGATATAGGCCTAAACAAATACCTTAAATTGAAACCTTCAGATCATTTCCTCATTCCGTTTTATCAGAATAAGTATTCTTATTGTATAAAAATACCAAACAATGAGAAGCGCGTTGCAACGAGTTTTGTCCAAATCGGCCCCAAAATATTAAAAATACGATTTGCAATTTATTTCTTAGTACATTTCTTAATAATTTTTTGTATATCATTCTGTTTAAGTGCCCTTGATGATCTATGAAAGAAATTAAAATTTTATTTATTTTAGGCCATTGGCCCTCAGTGGTGGAGCTCCTTGTAGTATCTATGTTTGTGACTGACAGTAATTCGTGAAATTTGAATACAGAGCAGAAATGTAATACTAGTTGGACAAAGTACATTATCTTCAATAAGTTTTGTTCACATAAATATATAGTGTATATAAAAGCTCGATGCCAACAAACAAACATGTATTATAATTAAGAAGAAAAAAAATTACTCTGTACCCCTTTTTTTTCGTACATAAATATTCTTTAAAATAAAAGTGACACATTTGATGGGTAGATGGGCATGCATTTTCTTTTTAGCCATTCAAATAAAAATATTTTACATTTCGGTAAGAGTCTTTAAAAAGATAGATAAACGCTTAAGTTCATTTTTTTTAAGTCTTGACACAGTTTTAAATTCACAGAAGAAATGTTCAGTTCAATCTTTCTTCGCAATGTTGTATTCGTGATAGTGATAATTAAAATCAACATACGAACGTAAAATATGATTATTTCAATTAAGAATTGCATGTAAATGTTTAGAAACACCGCTGTGTATTCTGTAGAAAACATTGATTTCTGAGTTTTCTTCAGTTGCCTTTAATTACGAAATGATTGTCGATGCGGTATAAACATTATTGTAAAGTATCTTAATTGATTGAAACGTTCTTCAGCTGCAGTTAGAAATATAATAACTGCGTTCTAAAGCATATTTGGTTAGTGCATTTTTATTGGTAAAAAAGATTTGAAAATATTGTTTATTACAACAATTTTGTGCTGTTAATGAAACAATAAAACAATACGTGTTTTATTTTGTTGCCCGCGTATATTTATTTAATTATCTGTGTTTGAATGCATTAGTTAGATAACTAAAGCTTTGCTTCATAACGTCGCATTATAAATATCAATTTTTACATAACCCGTACAAGTGGACTTTCTGAATTTTCAAAACAGAGACATGTAATAATTACATATATAAAATGAAAGACATATAAATATAACATATGTAAAAGCAAATTCATATGATTATTACACAATTAAAATCAAGGTCATATCATTATTACATAATTTGAATTAAAGACAATTGATGATCACGTGGTACAAATGAAAGTCTCAAGACTAATAATACTAGAATAATGAACATTAAAGTCATATAACTATGGCAAGAAAATAAATCAAAGTCACGTAATTTTAACATAGTAAAAAGCTAAGTTACATGCTTATAACATATATATAAAATTAAATGATTATGACGTAAATATATAAAATTTTGATAATTATAAATGCATGATTTTATGACTTGGATTTATATTACGTATAATATTATAATTTTATATATTTGTTATGTTATAATCATATTTTTGTATATTTTAATACGTCATGTTAGTTCATAAATACTTTTTAAAACACAAAATAGAAATAAATGAAACTGTAATGCATGGTTTACATATACAAATGTAAACGTATGAAAGAAACAGTTTGTATTGTATAGGAAATATATTGTAGACTTTACGACGACTGTGTTAATATCTTTGATAATTGAGTCTCCGGTTCACGCGACATCCATGGTTGTCCAATTAAAGAAATATTAGTTCTAAATTACTCAGCGGTATCTTGAAATAATGGCTACACGCAATGTAATAAAATAATTCCATTGTTTAGTTATGTTCTTTAAAAGTGTAACAGAAATTTCATAAAATCTCCTCAAAGAGGTTTGCCATATATGCAATAATGTTTGCTTGAATTATTGGCTGTTTGTATTTTGCATTTCCGGATAGAAGAAAAAGGACAAAAATGTCCGCAAATTCTACTCGGAGGGGATGAGTGATTTTGTTATAAATTATATTAGGAAAAAGATTTCA